AATAACACCAACCGCGGCAATGGAATTAATTACTGGTATGTCTTCTCTGGACATGTACGTTGAGGAGGTCGCGTTAATGGCCATGTTACGATTGCACATGGCTGGTGTAAACCTTGAAGTAGGAATGGGTCAATTGAGGCTGAGCCTATGGCGAGAAGCCCTTACTGCGCAATCTCTGCTGCAGGCAACCAGTGATGCAATTGCACCCAAGTTTGTATTCAATAAACCCTACAAAATACAAATAAAACAGAACACAGAGTCAGATGCTACAAATGCATATATACAGATGGCTCAAAAACCAAAGGAAGCTCATGATGTGGAGTGTACTTCAGATCACTAAGCCTAAGGATTGAGTGGGGAACCAGAAAAAGAATTTCTGGCAAAAAAATAACAATCTGCACTGATGGCATTTTGCCAAAGCTTCGGTAGATAATAACATCCTGGGGTGGATTAAAGGCCACGACTGGAATAAAGTTAATCGCCGACTCTTTAGCCAAGGAAGCGGCTGGACTTAGAATTTTAGGACCCAGTGGCACCTACGGAATGATGACTTCGATAATTGCGAAACGAACCAAACGTCACACCCATGCTCAATCTCTAAAGAAATGGGATGGATTCAAGGGATGCAATCTTGCCAGGATCATCCTGGGTGACCCTGGGAAGCTGGCGCCGAAGAAATATTTAGCGATGACCAGAAAAAATCTACGCTAAACAGTAGGGTTTCTGACTGGCCACTATCAACTAAGAAAACACCTCCAAAATATGGGGCTAGTGGACACACTTCTATGCAGGATGTGTGAACAGGAAGGCATAGGCATTTCCTTTGCGAGTGTCAGGAGTTATCGTCAATGAGAGAGTGTGTTCAGCGAGTCTTGGCCTACACCTGCTGATATGAAGGAGATGTCTCCAAGTGACCTGTCCAGTGTATGGCACGAGGGCCTTCTGCATAAACTAATCGCGTTCAACTCGCTCTGGGGCCTGATCGAGTGGATTGGGTATTTCCTGAATGACAGAACATTTCAGGTTAGAGTAGAGGACAATAGAGAGATCCTCGCTGGAGAGCCGCAGGGGGCCATGCTCTCCCCTACACTGTACTCACTTTACACCAGTGACCTCCCGAGGTCTGAGCGTGTGAAAATATCTCTGTACGCCAATGACACGACTCTCCTCTCATCTTCCATGGGTTGAGAGCTCGGTATCATCTACATGTAACGTGCATTGAATGACCTCGAGCGCTGGTACCTCTCCGACCAGAAAAGTGAGAATCTATGGAAGGGAGATCGACTAGCAAACGCGGATAAAGTTACTTGGCCTTCTAATAGACCGTAGTCTTACCTGAAACCCGCACATCACACCCATGAAGGCAAAGATCGAGGGTCGGATCGAAATTCTGTACCCTCTGATCAACAGACGTTCTGAATTTAACCTAAAGAACAAGATCACGATCTATAAAACGATGTTCGGGACTGTCATCATGTATGCTTCAGGCGTCTGGGGACAAGCGGCTCCGTCTAATATATCGATTCTGGAGGGATTACAAAATAAGTTAATACGGATGAGAGTGAATAATCCGTGGTTCGTACGGAATGAAGCCATCCGCAGAGATTTGCAGCTGCTGTTCATCAAGCAGTCCATTCAGTCGAGGAATCGGCAAGTCTTTGATTATGTAGAAACCCACGATAATCTTTCAGTTAGGAAAGCTATGGATTATGCTGTAGACGACCTCTCCTGATATAGAAGGCCCAGACACTCTGTCGAGTGTCTCATGTCCTCTGTTTAAAGATGAACAATATCATCATCCAAACACCTCAGGGCAGTACTGATTTCTGAGGACATTCATGCCGCCATCCCATAAATCAGTCTCGACCCGTTTGTCTCTCTGACGAATATCAGTCGAAAGGATAAGGGAGCCAGGCTCTAACCTGTTTTAAGTCATGATGACACGAACAAGGAACCTGCCCACCATCTTGGAAAGGACAGGATCGACGATGACCTAGGAGGACAACTCCTTAGGAGGATGTACAATGGGTCGTATGTGGCCTAAGTGCTGTGGGCCTACACTCATCCTCCCCACTCTACAGATACAGATACTGTTAGAATTATAAAATCCGTTAGGAATCCTATCCGAAACACACTGGAAAAACCTTACGGCAATATGCGTACAAACTTTCAAAGATCTTAGCGACACATGTTTCCACATGTACCCCTGAGAGAACTTCATCTTCTCTGAAACGCCTCAAAACTCCAAAAGCCAGGAACGACTAAACGGTTCGGTGTTGATGTCAATCTACCGTAGAATTGACATCAACATCGAGAAGGATTTGTTTGCTGCAAAGAAAGCTAGAAAACTAAATTCGATTTTGTAAAAAGATGTTAATATTTTGGTAACAGTTTTCTAATAAATATATATGATCATGAAAGACAATTTTCTTTCTTTCGTTATTTTTATATTTCATGTTTTTCTACTGCTCCACCAAACCCCTCCCGAAATTGTTTTCTGGCTACGGTCTTGGATACAGTGTCGTGAAGATGTTTCAATTGAGTGTTAAGCGAAGTTTCAGAGCAACAAAACAGAATTCTCGCATCGTTTCATAACCACAGATGAAACATGGCTCCATCACTTCACATACGAGACAAAAATTGAAACAGTAGACACAACAAGGAGAACCGGCTCCAAGGAGGGCAAAGACCGTTTCATCTGCAGGCAAGGTCATAGCATTGAATTTTTGGGATGCTCGTAGGATAATTTTCATTGACTTTCTTAAAAAAAGTAAAACTATGAACGCTGAGTATTATGCGAACTTATTGCAACGTTTCAGTTAAGAAATGAAGCAGAAACAGCCGCATTCGGCTAAGAAAAAAGGAATGTTCCATCAAAACAATGAACTAGCTAACAAATTCATTTTCCAAAATCAACAAACTGAAGTTTGAATTGATATCTCGTGCGTCAGATTTAGCCCCCTTGGATTATTTTCTGTTCCCAAAGTTGAAAAATTGGCTCAGTGGTCAAAGATTTTTCAACGATGAAGAAGTGATGTCAGCTTTCAATGGCTATTTTGGGAAGCAAGACAGTTTTTATTATTGAACGTCGCTAGAAAAAATGTGTAGAGCTGCAAGAAGATAATGTTGAGAAATAAATTCATTGTTTTCCAAAATTTTTGGGCAGGGTACTTCTGGGACCACCTTCGTAAAATGAAAGGTAGTAACATCGTGAAACTTTCTGAAAAGAATAGTTTCAGAAATAATAATAATAATGAAAAGTGGAGATGTTATAGATTGTTTACGAGCACCTTATACACAATAATAGTCACCGCAGTTGACCGAGTGTTAGAATGGATATATGAGCAGAGAGGGTCGAAGAGAGGAGTCGCTGGGTGTGAAGAGAACCTGCTCATGAATAGATGTATAACGCAGGACTCAATATAGTGTGAGCATAACCTCTCTATAGCCTGGATCGATCACCACAAGGCATTTGATTCAACAACACATGATTTCATCTTGCAATTGCTCAGATATCTTTCGTTACCCGGCAAAATAGTTGGTTATTTTGAACAACTGATACCACTCTGGAGGACTCGCTTCACCATAACCTCTGGTCGAGCTAGAGTCCAAACAGGCCGGGTCACTTTCAAAAGGGGTGTATTCCAGGGCAATTTTTCAGTCTCCTTTTCCTCTGCATCCCACTATTGCGATTATCCGTTGCGCTCAGATATTCTCGAGGGTATAACTACGGCATCCCCAGAAACCGGTAGCACAAGGTCACCTATTTGTTCTATATGGATGATTTTAAACTTGAGGTCGATCATTGAGGTTGGTGAAAGAGTACAAGCTTGCTATCGGTATGAAATTTAAAATAGACAAATGTGCAATGGTTCATCTCAAAAACGGATGATTTGGGGACTACGGAGGGTATGCGCAGCTCGTACATGAAGAGACGTATACTCACCTCGGGGTGAAACGTCACTCACAAGAGGTAACAACAGTGAAGAACAGCAAGTATCATCACGAACTCCGGCAGATCTGATCATCGGAACTGACAGGGAAAAACAAAGTTGCTGCATCAAATATGATTACCGTTCCAGTCTTACTTTCCCGTTTGTGGTAGTGAAGTGGACTCGGGAGGAACTGTATAAACTCGACGTAGAGACCCTAAAAATGATGCACCTCCATAGGAGTTTGCATCCCAAATCATCCGTTTCATGGCTGTACTTCCCCAGTCAACAGAGAAGCCGTGGACTTTTGAGTTTGAAGTATATACATGACAGATGAAGCTTATACAGTTATCAAATAGTTTGGATCCCCTTCTCTGCAAGGTCAGCGACCATGAGAGAGCATCAATTGAATTTTTTTTAGACCAACTGCCCGAGCAGCTGGTGAAGTTTTCAACTCTGGGCGAGGGATTGGCCAATGCATGGAGTTTTCTTCAACAACATTGAAGACCTTAGCTTAGCGCCTGACCTTGGCTTTCCTTAGGTCGAGTGGGCTGAAGCCGAAAACTGAAGGGTTCATCATGGCCTGCCAGAATTATGTTTTCAACACCTTGGTCTACCACAATCTCGTGATGGTATGGAGGTTCCTGACACAAGGTGCAGGGCCTATCGCGAGTCGCTTGAGACCCTATAATGCACTTGCTCTCAGCATGTCCAGCATATGCTTATAACCACCGACATAATGCAGCCCTAAAGATTCTCTTTATTATCATCTATGGTAATTTCACGATATTGACGTGATACCGGTGTTGCCTTACGCTCCGGTGAGATTCTGAATACGTTATGGGGAAAGAGAAGTGCTGAATTTATAGTAACTATTCGTTTCTCACCCTCAGGCTCATACATGCTAATAAGACTTATGTAGTCCTTTTTGACCACCAGAGCAAGACGATATTTGTCGTGGAATTTTCAACCCATAACGACACAAATATCGTCCGAAAAGAGGGGGGGAAACGTACAAAATTTGGTATCGTGAAACATCGAATTTGGATAGGTGAAAAATCCAAAAAATAATTCCATGTGTGTTATATTGTAGATTCTTCAAGACCCAAAAGTATACAACGAATATTGAAGATATCGTCCCACTCATAAAGGTTCCATTAAGAATCTGATATCTTTCTTGCTTGCACTTGGATCACCAATATCTGCTAGTACTATATGCCCATTTTCTACCTGAAGATACAACTCTTTGCCACAAAGACTCTGAATAGTTCCATCTGAGTTGAATACGAATTTATTATCTTCCTGAGTTTCATCTTCATATCGAAGTATGAGTTTAGTTCCTGGTTTGGCTTTCTTGCATCCTCCCTTAATACTCATCAACTTCCTACGGCAGAATAGAAATTATAATAGAAAAGTGAGAATACAAACAAGATACAATCAAATCTTTCATCTTCAGCATGAAAGCTTGAAAGAAACAGCACCAATATCATCATCGAAACTATTGAGTAAGAAGCATCATCCTCTAGAATTATTAACGCTACTGAATATTGTTACATTAAAACATAGTTGGATATGAACTATTGATTTTCAGAACAATCATACAAAAAAATAATTATTTGTAGTGAATGATGAGTCTACTCTACTCTGTTGGGTGTATGTGGGTGCTAACATAATTCATCTCCTGTTACTTCACAAGATACTTTTAGATCATCTAACAACTCTCGTGACATATAGGTGATATTTTTCAGGTGAGTGTTCTTCTTGTATATTCATGAAAAAAAAAATTATGAGCGATTTGCGAAAAAATCATTCGCAGTACATAGACACTGATTACACTAATTTATTGATATGCCGTGAAACATACCCTGAAGTAGTAAAAACAGGTATAGAAATGTTTAATGATACAAAGGAATCGTTCACTTGGAATAGGTTAATTTTAAATGAATCTGAAACTATTATACTTTTTAGAACTAATCAATTACAGATAGAACGACCTTGAAATTTGAATATTGAAAATATTACTATAAAATATTCAGAAGACACCAAATTTCTAGGACTTTATATTGATGAATTCTTGAAATGGGACAAACAGATTGATTATACCGCTAACAAATTGAGCAAAATTTCGTATGGACTAAGGGTGGTTCACAAATATCTTAGGAAAAAAAGTTATATGAAGTACTGGTGATATTTTGACCCCATCTATACATTCCCGAGAGGAAAAGAGGAAGTCCAGGGACACCCTGTATATAAATTATTTACGTAAACATTGAGAAGGCAGGGGCCCAAAACCGTACCTTGAGACACCTCGAAGTTTATTGTTTTGAATTCATGTTGCATGTAATACATCCAGGAAAGACATGAACTCATTGACATTTTTAAAGTTTCACAGAACACGTTTTTCCATAATGATTCCGCAAGAGCAGTTCTCATTTTCGCGAATGATTTCCAATGTGTTTTCCTAAAAAATTCAACTATTACCCACGTTATTGCTTTGGAAGAAATAAACGAGTCCTCGAAAAAACTCAACGTTACTATCCAAGACGATCCAAAAGAAGCGATATATATTCAGAAGCACAGGAATGATTTCGATCCGAACAACGAAGGAATTAACATCATTAAAATATGGCTACCTGCTCTTTATTTATTTCGTAAGAGGTCACACAAGAACCACACAATCATTTCAGCGCCGCTTTAACATTTCAATATCACTTTTGTAGAACAATATATCTATTGCCTCAAAATAGGCCTCAGTTTCATTCGAGCGAAATTTTTTACCGGTGAGCATTTTTTGAGATCTGCGAATGGCCAGAAGTCTCTGGGAGTCGAATATTGCGAATACGGTGTATGTGGGAGCAATTCGAAGTTTAGTTCATGTAGTTTTGCAAATGTCTTTATTGACCAATGTCTTGATTTACTCTACGGACGACAACTCTCAAAAGTCGAAACTTGTGCGAGCTAAGGAATAGCGAGGTCTTATCTTTTAACGTGTGATTCCTAACACGGGTTAGACGATAGGAAGTGAAAAATTGATCGTCCGGCCTTGCGGCTTGAACCACCGGTTCACACAACGGTCGTGGAGCAAACCACTCACGTTAATCCACCAGGCTACCGTCCTACCCCAAGGTAGTATACAAATACTTTGGATATTTGTGAGAATTCAAAATCTACGGATGATTGGCAAAACGCTTCATCTGGACATTTTTTTCATCATTTTCATTAAATATGCTTCATATTCACATTCATGTCGCTGACATTTTCAAACTCCATCAGAAATGTTGATTTCCACGAGCTTGCGGTCTGGATAGGTTTATTTTTCATTTTCTAATTAATTAGTGTGTTTTTTGCACATATATTGTTTATGGAGGATATTGAAGGATATTGGAGGATATTTTTCCACATCACGAAATATTTTATCAATGCTGTGGGCGATTTTGTACCCCTACTGAAGTAGCTGTAATTTACTAAATCTGAATAATTACTTTAACAGAAAAAAGTGAAATTTCCGCCCCAACGATAAAATCGTGGAGGCATTTTCTATCAAGAAAGGATTTATTCCATTACATATTTGAAAATTTTGTTCAGTTATTCTAGAATTACTGAACGGAATTCTAGAAGATCATAGACCNAATAGTAGCCAAATTCTTTCACTCTAATCCATTTTACATCATCCCGAAGATTAATTTCGTCATTTAGAGTGTTATTCTGCTTTTTAAATAAATAAAGTTTTCCTGGGAGCTCTTCGAAATTATAGAAAAAGTTCCATGTTTACATAAATATTATTTTTTGTACTTGATGACTTTATAATGTCACGATATTGGTCAGGTATAAAAATGTTTCCTGTCAATTTTCTCGATCCGGCCAAAGTCCCTATCAGAATCAAGATAGCTATGACCTACTTTCGGGAACTTGTGATCAATTATTTTTAAAAAGCACACGAATGAGACCATACAATCACATTATTTGTTTCTGGATATTCTTTTCTAAGCATTTTACAAAACCGAAACGGACAACTTGCAATTTCATTGCTGCCTCTGTTGGCTACATCCTCAGTCCACGTAAAGAAGTATGATTTCTGTCTCAAATAGGTAATAGGTACAGTGTATCCCAAAATTGCATAGTCACATTTGTCTTAAGTAAAATGCTTTTGAGGTTGATAGCTTGGGCAGAGGCATAGTTTGTTGCAAATCCATAGTGATGTAGACTATGTTTTTGTTGGAATGTGGCTTTTGCCTGTCAATTTTTTGAGATTCGAAAGCGAAGTTATAGTTGTCTTTGTGATCAGCAGTATTTCCACCGGCATCGCATACACTTCACGTGTAGTGGGGTGACAAAATGAAAGGTTAAATCTTGTTTCGAATATATGACGATACATAGAAATTTTGACGAAATACATGTCTTCAAGTTTTTTTTTACACTTCTTTATGTACATAATATGGTGCATCTGCGTTACGTTAAGTAATGGGTATAAAAACTATTTGTTTTCATTTTTATTGCGTGAATAGTGAGATTTCTCTGCCGGAAATTTCTTAATATGATTCACAATACAGGCTATCACTTCCTCACTAATTTTGCTTGGCCTATTTTAATGTCGTCCTTGTTTACTTGGCGATGGAGCTGATAGGTCGTTTTAAGCTTTTTTTGCATATTTTTCATCTTTTTTCTTCCTATTTGATAAAGGGAACAAAAAGCGTCTTTACACACCGGTATTTTTTGTTTCTCAAAACTTATTGAATATGCAAACGATTCTTCTGTTGTTTTGTACCAATACGATTTCGAGCAACTGGATATATATACACAATAATCTAAAAATACGTTGGGCTCTACTCTAATCATCATATTTGAAATATAAAGCACAAATCCACTCACTAATTGGTCAAAATTATGTGGAGCTACGATGCACGCAATTTATAAAACATAATCTCAAAAGTGACATGTCACTGCAACACAACTCGTGCCTACAAAACAGCCTTGCGTTTTTTAGCAGATAAAGGTGTTATGTCCTAGATTTGTGACATGACACTTTAATCCACGAAAACGGTGAGTATACTATGCGTCATACCACTTTTATCAACTAGCAGTTTTTTTAAATATGTAGTTATAGATATGTATTACCTTATAAAAAGTTAGATTGGAACCTTGGGGCTCAAAAAACAAATAAAATCAATTTTTCAAAAATGTGACATAACACATTCATCCACTTAGGTCTGTAAGCTTTAGGTATATTAGGCAAAAAAACTGAAATTACAATGAGATAAAATACAGGCAACAATCAAAAAATCAGAAAATTGAATTAACACGAGATGAAAAATAAAAATTATCAACAAGAAATGAAAATCAAACGATTCCAAACCACGTTTGTATTGCTCAAAATGACCCCATGAAAAAGTCCAAAGGTGTCAAATCTGGCGAGCGGGCTGGCCATTCCGTAGGACGTCGATGGCCAATCCAAATAGTTTCTTATTTGTCTGGAATAATGTGGCGGTGGACGTCACAATCGTCTTCGGGTGATAACGGCTTGAAAATGAGTCTCTTGGTCCTGGAATGCTCTGAAGCGTTTTGCGAACTTTCAGAATATTCTGATATTTTTCTTAGGATACAAAACAAAAGAAACGTGATGAAAGAAACTATAAAAAAAATTGCAATACATGTTTTTGGTGCGAAAATCAAAATAATAGGTACAAGTAAATGAAGTTACAGCTAGTGCAAAATGGGTAAGATAAAGGGTAAATACACGCATGAAGAAGGTATTTCATAACGAAACACGTGTAAAACTTTTGTTTGAAGGTGTTTGACAATGTTTCGTAGTGTATTTTATCAGTTCGAATGCATTAAGCAATTATATTAAGCAAAAAAACTGAAATTACAATGAGATGAAATACAAACAATAATCAAAATATCAGAAAATTGAATTATTAACACGAGATGAAACTTGAAATTTATTAACAAGAAATCCCTAGCAATTATAGACCCATCTCAGTTATAAACAACTTTGCAGAAATATTCGAAAAGTGTTTGAAACATAGTTTGATGAAATTTTTTACCAAGCATAAGTGTATCACAGAGAAACAGTATGGATTTCAGAAAAAATATAAGTACAGAAGATGCAATTATGAATCTAACTAAAAATATTGTCGGAAGCTTAAATGAATCAAGAAAATGTCTTATGGTATTTCTTGACTTGGCCAAAGCTTTCGACACTGTGTCGCACAATATTTTACTTGAACTTCTCAATAAAGTTGGCATACGTGGCACAGCACTGAATCTATTAAAAAATTATTCACAAAAAAGGACACAGCAAGTAAAAATTGAAGAATGTCTGAGTGATTCACTGAAAATCACAATAGGTGTTCCACAGGGTTCAGTGCTGGGTCCAATATTGTTTCTCGTGTATATTAACGACGTTGCTGATCTTAATAACTTTCATGGCCATATAGTATCATATGCAGATGATACTGCTATTATTTTCATAAATGATACATGGGAACAGGTATATGAATGTACTAAATTAGACCTCTCTCACATCCACAGTTGGTTGAATCACTTCCTAATAACAGTATATTTTCAGAATAGTAACTTTATCACCTTCTCTCTAACTAGTGAAGACCAACCTACAGAAAAATATATTTCGGTACATAGTTATTCTTGTGATGAAATATGCCTCAGAGGTTGTCCACAGATTGAAAAAATCAATAAACTAAAGTATCTTGGTGTGATAGTGGATCAACACCTAAGGGGGGATGAACATGTATTATATGTAACAAAGAAATTACTGCAACTAATACATAAGTTTTATTTGCTACGTGATATTCTCAGCAGGAAAAACCTTTCCATAATTTATAACTCATTAGCTAAGTCAATTTCAAGATATTGCATAGTAATATGGGGAAATCTCTACCACAATGCTCAAAAAAAATTGCAAACTACTTAAAATTGTAATTGCAAACTACTCAAAAGCCTCAACTACTCAACAACTTATTCGCATATTATTGCCTAATATATACCTACCGTAAAACAAAGCCCATTGTTGATCCGCTTAAACATTATGATACGCGATTCACAGAAAACAAATCTATTGACTTGCCTATTTTCAAAAAAAGTCACTCACAAAGATTTGTTTTCTTCATTGGCCCTAAACTATATAATTCACTACCTTTATGTGTGAAAGAATTGAGAAGGAAGAAATATTTCAAAACTAAAGTAAAGGAACTCATAGAGTCAAATGAAATTAATATTAATCTTCATCTACAAGTTTAGAAAACCATAGAATACATAGTTCACAAATATTATTAATCACTATTATGATGTTATTCTGAAAATAATGTTGAGCTGATGATACCTATAGTTTTAAATAACTATCAAATACTTACCTCATAAACATTTATGTACCTTTTTGCTTTTTATTTGAAATCAATATTTACTGATCACTCGTCTGACTAGTCTGATTCATAATCTGTACAAGCTCTAGGCATATTTTCTGGATGATCATTAAGAAGTGCAAAACACTAACATCCTAGGCTTAGTTCTTATTGATCGAAGGAACACAATGATTGTTATAACCCCTAATGAACATGTATTGTGTGATATTCTATTCAGATGAATAAACGAATTTGAAATTGAATTTCATATCAATTTATATCATATTAGATAATGGAATTCCGAACAAATGAAATACGTTTAAAATTGTTCAGTAAAAATCTCACAACTAAGTGAGACTATGGGTAAAATAAGTTAGTGATAAAAATAATCAGTATAACTCGTAGAGTAATACCTACGAAATATCCAGTAAAGAAACGTTCTTACCTGCCTTTCCCGTTTTTTACATTCCTGAAAACGAACCATCCTATTCCTGCTTCTACTACCCACGTCCTATAGAGAGCGAAGTTTCTACCCCAAACCAAATTTATGGTATCCTTTCCATTCACGAATTTATCAGATTTCATAGATTTGAGAACCAAGTAGGATTCCACTCTGCATGTTCCATTAGTAGGTTCCCAAATGGATGTATAACCTTTGAAACCTTCAAAATGAAAATAAAACATTTGTACCAACATGGATGCCAAACAAACTACTCATTCCAGTATGAGAAAATGAATATTTCGAAATGAAATCTCGAAAAACGTATTCACACAGCTGATTCTGGTAAACCACTGCGTGAGCTGTTACTAGTCAACATATATTTCTTTCAGACGTAGATTTCATACAAGTAGTCGAACCTCGTTGATGTTACTCGAGTTCCAGATATCTTGCTTGCTTCCAGATATCTTGCTATACTTCGAAACCGATCTTCAGTTGATCTATTAGATGGATGAACGAAAAATATCTGTAAGACTAACCTCCAAGAAGTATCTTACATAAATGTCTATCGGATATAATTCAATATCTTTCGTTTTATTAGCCAAGGTAGTAGTTGTTGGTTTGAAGGTGGTTGGTTGAAGGTATATAGTAGTTGTTTTCCGGCAAATTTCAATCAGAGAGATGATGTTTTGAAATTTTACCTTATAAATTGTGATTATCGCAAAAAGTATGTCGATCAAACTGAACGAACTATCAGAGACATGTGTATCTCTTCTTGGCAGACATTTGCTGGATTATACGAACGTTATGGAAGGGGAATGTTTCATATTTCAGTTCGAAATAGAATAATTCTACCGGCTTCGATGGAATTCCAAGGAATTTTCCACCGCCTTTGATTGTCGAATATAAGCGTCATCAACTCGCCTATCGAGACAGTCAAGTGGGAGTTACAGTGCGGTACGTAGAGCGATCTAGTAAGACGATAGTTATTTCGAATAATAGTTGAAGTTATAGTTGAAGTGTTTGTTGTATTTAAAGTGAAATAAATTAAAGTTTGATTATTGTTCAGTGTGGTCAGTTATTACCCATGGGAAAAAAGTAATACTATTTGAGATAACAATATAATGGTACATTATCTGCATGTAACTTCAACGGTGTAACTCCATGATATCTCTTAGGGAACCAAAATTACATAAAACCTTCCCGTGGGTTGGGATTCCTATCGGGCGCGTCCCTAGATGACGGATAGGGGAACGGCCACGGGACTATAGGGGCTCTGTCCGGGAATCCAATGTGGCCCCACGGACGGGGTCGCCGGACTCCTGGTCAGTGGCAGAAACAGGTAGGGAGAGGGGAACCAAATCTCCCCTAAAACTTTTGCGAAACATGCCACCGTGGACCAGCCTACCCAAGCTAAGATGTAAGGAATCGTGTCGACAGATGAATGGCCGCAGGGTGATATGCGGTTACGAACTATCCTCTTGGAGACCTGGGCGAAACCTCATTGTAATCAGTCTACCTCTGGTAATGCGGGGCTCTGCCAGAGTGACCAAATCTTCTCCTGCTACTCGTGGGAACACACATGAATGAAACAAACACAAAAACAGACACAGAAAAAACCGAAACCAATGCCGAGGCTGGATAGAAAGGCTCACCTCAATCTATGGCAGTGGCTGGGGATGAACAAAAATCTACACCTCAATCTACCACTTGGAATCACCTCGTGATATAATACAAAGGCCAAGGTGTGAGCGCATTTGGGGCGCCGAATCCAAAAGGAGAAAGAGAGCGATAGAGGCAGGAGTAGCAGCAACTATAAGTGCACCCTACTTCTGCTACACTCCAGCTCTAACACCAAGGGCACTTTCTGCGGTGGACGCCAAGAGCTCCGCCTTGAATAAAGGCAAGGAACCGGCTGCCCTTGCAGGAAAGCGCCTTTACTTGAGCACCTCCACATAGGAAATCCCAAGAAGGTTGAAGAAGCCACACAACGACAGTAATGTCACTGCACCTTCCAAAACCTTCACGAAGGCCGCCGTGAGACACCTCAAGGTTGCCAAAGAGAGTGTGTGTTCGATGAGTCTTGGCCTTCACCTTCACCTACCGATATAAAGGCAATGTCTCCTAGTGACCTGTCCACCTTCCTGAAAAGGACAGAATGGGCGATTACCTAGGAGGACAACTACTCGGAAGGATGTACAATGGGTCACATGTGGCCTAAGTGCTGTGGGTCTACACTCACCCTCTCTAGTGTACAGATACAGATACATGAACCCTTGTAAATTGTAGCCTATATAATATTCTGATGTTTAAGCTGTACTTATGTAAAGTTTCATCCAAATCCGTTCAGTCGTTTAAGGCGTGATGGAACCACAAACATACATCCATCCTCACAAACTTTCACATTTATAATAGTATAAATTGTGTTGCGATCCTGTGAATGATATCTGATTCAATTCCATAACGAATGTTTTGAGTACAACTGAATAAAAAAATTTGTATTGTAGCTTTTTGGAAAGTGTTTAGTATAATTCAATATTTATATAAGTAGTGATTTAGAAAAGGCTTTTTTTCTCCAGTTTGTGTCACTTTTTCGTATGATCTACACATCTTTGTGACTAGTATATTTTGAAATCAATTACTTTTTTCCTTCTTCTGAAAGACTAACATTTTTTTGTATGAAGATGGAGGAGTGAAAAACCAAAACTGATGTTTTCCAAAACAAAACTCATTTGATTATAAAATCAAGAAAGGGTATCAACCTATAAATGAAACAAATAAATGATCGTTTCCGAAAATATTGAAGTTTTTCATGATTTCACACTCACCAAGTGATGAAGTTAAAATAATGTAAGCAGCCAAAATCAACAACTTTATGATTGTTGCCATGTTTTCATTCAGACAGAAATATTGGAACTATCATTATATCGAAAGAACGTCAGAAATTTTAATAAGCTGATAACTGAGAAGCAATCGTTAATAGCTATTTTAGAAGTTCGATTGACATCAATCATAAACAGAAATAATATAACAGCCAATTAGTCAGTTCGATATCTTGTCTGTCAGAATAAGCAGATTTTTTCCCTTGAATTTCAATTGATATAATGAAAGTAATTCCACAAATATATTTTTCAGCATACATATGAAAAAAATTATAGCAAGACATTTTTTTCATGAAATAAAAGTTAACAAAGAGAAAGCTGGACCTTTCATTGATTATATCTGGTGTCACAATTCTTGCACTAGAATCCACAATACTGGAAATTACTTTTCGACAGCGTCTAGTCAGGTCAATTTTGAAACAGCTCAATATCAAGGCGTCTGGTCATCGTACCCGTTATCCTCGTTAGAAGATTGCTCGCGTTCAGCCTATTCCCAAAAAGGATAAACAAACTTCCTCAAATAACTGTAGACCAGTCGTTTTGCTGTCGGTTATATCAAAAATTATAGAGAAAGCCGTAAACCATCATATCCTCAAATATTTGGAAGGCTTCAACATCTTGAGTGATAATCAATATGGCTTTCGGAAACAAAGATCAACAGGCGACCATTTATCCGTATGTCACCCATATTTGGAGTAACATGGAGAGTCAAGAGCTGTTGCGCTTGATATTTCTACGGCCTTTGACCGTGTGTGGCATGATGGTTTGCTGGCCAAACTTTTGTGTATGGCTCCAGCTTCCTGAATACATATTGCATTTTAATGCCAGATCCACACAAATGATAAAACACATAATATTCATAAACAAATATATTTTAAAAACAATATACACTGAAATATGTGACGTTCACACCAATATTAAAAATAAAAAATCTAATTCAAGATATTTATTCACTGCATGAAATATTCCTGAATATTGTCATGTTACAAATATCGGAAATGTACTCTCAAAAAAATGTATACTGAATAATTTACTAAAATAACAACTCTGAATTCATAAGCACTAATTGAAAAATAATAAATATATCATTTCATTGAAATAATAAAACTGTATTTGATCAAGAAATGAGCGAGATATAGGTTTCTCACTTCATAAACTGAACCCACAAATGAGGTATTTTAAATGAGTGGTATGATGGGTTCTTCAATGAATTTCACTTACTTGAAGTTATCCAAACTTTACCCACCTGAAGAGTTCTCCTGATATCTGTCCAACAATGCATCAGCCAGTCTTTCAGTACTGATACCTGGAACAAAATGTACATTAACGTTCATTATGATAGTGATAGTGATATATGATAGTGGCACACTTGAAATAAAAATCAAATAGATATTTTTCTCATAGGTTCCTCATGAACATTTACAACTTTTAATGACTCGGAGAGCAACTTGCATTCCCTTATTGAACAGTACTCATTACGTTTTCGGTTTCTTGGCGCACCTGCATGTACCAGGTACCACTCCGTTTCTTTTTGGGCATATTGATAGTATCTTGAAAAAGAGTGATTGAAATTATGAAAACAAATGATACAAAAGAATGTGTCATTCACTTACTTTCCTCTACTGAAGATAGATAACTGAAATCACTCTAGTTTATACATGTACTTAGTCAAACCAACAAATCCCACACACCAACTCTCCTCGGGTCTGAAATGAGGTATTGTAGATTAAGCACCATGACTTTATTATCGATACTATTGTCTTTTACTTACTTTTCTTAAAGATTGAATATGTAACTCTACTGTTTGAAGATGCAAAAGCAAACTATTGTATGCAACTGTACTGCAAATTGGACAGCCTCAAACTACAAATGGTACACTAAACATGAGAGAATTATACTTTGGTAATAACTCCAATACACCATGCAGTACACACGCAAACCTGCCATGTCTTCACTTTCTCATTTCTCTGGTGCCAGAATTTGTCGCTTTGTTACTAAATGATTTCAAATACAAAAAGACAAATAGGATGAGGATAAACCGATTCATTGATGCAATTGATTCATTTATTGGCCCATTCAAACTTTTTTGTCGTTTCCAACAGTTGCATCAAGAGTGTATTATTTTCCATTAATAATTTGAATTTTTCTTCTTGTTCTCTAAGTAACCTTTTCAGCTTTTCGTTTTCAAATGAAAGATTTGAATCAATTTTTCCTGAATGTTGTTTTTTGCAGCAAACAATCTTTGTATGACATATTCTAGTACACTTCAATTTATTTTTCACTGCACAGGATAGGTGGAATATGTCTACGCATTCTATGCACACTATATTTTTTTGTTGTTTTCGTTTGACAACACTTGAATTGTTTTTCTTTAAAATTAACTTTACTGATAACAGATAACACATCAATCGGCTGTTTACCAGTTTCCGCCATCCCCATAATATATGATAACTGGTGTATCACACGTCTTTCCACGTCTACATTATCTGGAGTACTTTTAGTATTAATTTCTTGGCAAAAAATATTTTTCTTCACATTTTCTCTTCTCAAACAGATGGTATTGTCTTTACCTTTTTTATAATCACCATCAAAATCTGAATCTTCACTAGAATAATCCGAATTATCTGGAGGAACAAACTCGTCACTAGATGAAATCTAAAATTAAAGGTTCTTTAGAGTACTATCTGAAATGAAATAGTAAAAAAAATTGACAAAACTAACCTATCAAGCCTTTTGAAGTAGATGGGTTTTGTGTACTCTCTTGAAAAAGCTGCTCACTCTGCTCACTTGTACATTTTCGTTGAATGTTCATAGTATTCGAACTGCATTGTACGTCTACAAAACAATAATGAATTGTTTCAAATTGTAACACTTGAAAAACTAATCAACGCTTAATTTATCTCCACTATTTGAACTCCTTGTTCAACCGCTCGATTCGCTTTCTGAACTCAACTGCCCTCTCAGGATGAGAAGCCGGTCTTATATATCGGTAGCGATCGTTCTAGAATTCTATAGTCGTTTCGGTACTCAACTAGAGTTTAATCGGCGGTTGCCGACTGCATTCCTTTTGCGGTGATGTGTTTGTTCGCTGGCCGACATATCGGTCAGGGGCGGCTTCAGATTCGTTACAATATTTATTTATTTCACTGGTACAAAAAAGTCTTTTGGCAAATAAAACATCATGATTATCCAGACACCCAATTTTGGTACTTATACGAATGACAATACTCTGTTATTAACAGCAAAAAGAAAAAATTGCGCTGCGATTTGAACTCGTGAAACCCGTGAACATCATGTCGTACCACTCATTTGTCACCACTAAGCTATTTGATATCAATTAACAAAACGATAATTTCCATCTTAATGCCATTCCATTAGCAGTATTTATTTTGTGAATCAAAATATGTCTGCTATTTACTTACTCACAATGAACATTGAAGCCGTTTTTGTACAGAACAGAAAATTATGGAGCGTCATATTAATGCGGTTGGAAAAAAATGTATTTGATTCGATAAAACAGAATTATGAGTAATCAAGTTGAAACTTGGTTGAAATACTATTCGTCAAATACTCTCAAGTATATCATGACAATGTCATAAATTATTGTAACTGTCAACTACTGTTCGAATATTTTTCGAAATGCTGTTTTCCCATTGCATTGGTATTTTGTTGGTGGTTTATGAATAAATGCAGATAAGATCCAAACTTCTATAGAAATATTATATGGAGTGATGAGGCTAATTTTTCAAATTGTGGGATGTATACAAGGATTGCCTTTTATGTTTCGGGATTTGGCAACCCTAGTGTTGCAATCTGGCAACTGACAAGCTCTATCGTAAAGTTGGTCATTTTTGAGCCTATACATACTCAAAACGTTTTGACATACGCGCGCTATTTGTGTTGTTTACAGTAACTTTAAAGATTCATCTCGAGTATATTCGTTGACATAATGGATAGATTAGAGAATAAATATAATCGATCGTTTCAAAAACACTTCACTAACTTTCTTTGAAAGCTTCTGATAATTTATCTTCCATATTCTCTGTTTCACTGTCACTGTTGTCATTTAAATCAATAATGAATTCATTTCCACCATTAATATGGAAGTGTCCAATCTATGATCTTTTTCAACTAAAAGTAGTCGTTTAATCCTTTTCCGAGAGTCTTCTTCGGTGATATTAGATACGTCTTCTTTAATATTACTGGAACTTTTTCCCAATACCAAACCATTATTTTATCACCTCGACACGTTTTTCAATTACCAAGTAATCATCTTCAAGAGGAAGATCAAACTAATCATACTTACAAAGCTATCCTTATTTATACCATAAATCTACTCAAATTAATTTTACAATGTGTCCTTATGTAATAGTAAATCTAATAATTGAAAAATTATAAGCTATATAAAATTAATTTCACATAATAATGATAATAACATATATTCACACTGAAAAAATATACAAATACATATTACAAAAATTACGTACAATTTTAACAAGTTATATAGTATACTATTAGGTATTGGTGCACCATCGTTATTCATAATATTATTATATTTACTTATTTCTACACTGTCATAGGCATCTAGATGCCTGTTGTTCAACAACACCTTTTACTTTGACTATACATACATACACATACATACAAAATTACATGAATACAAGAGATACAAATCTGTTTACTTACTCAAAAGGAACATTTGAATGAATATATTAAATAACTAATTAATTGTTACATTCAACAGGTATTTTGGTAATATCTTCCATCTTGCCAATTTTCAACATGTTCTGCTGATTACTCGGCTTACTCTGAATTAGTGGGTTTAGTATAATAATCTATTTTAACAGAGTTATCGTCTTTCCTGATTAAAAGGGTATCTAAAAAAGGTACTGTTTTGTAATTTTTTCTATGGTGAGTAGAATAAATGGATTGTAATTGTTAATAATAATTTTTGTCAAAAGGTACAGCACATATCCACAAACTTTTCTTTAAAAAGGAAGCTGAAATGATAATTTTGGAATACTTTCATACATATAATAAATAATCCAT